TAATTCACTTGTGGCTGGAAATTAATTTTAAATGTTTAGGTAAGTAGCTTTTGAGTGAAGTGTGATTTGGGTGGCTCGGATTTAGGCTTAAATGCAAAAGGTAGTTGGAATTTTAATGGTGGATTTGCTACTAGGCTTTCCAAACACACAGCAAGAGAATACACAATAAAGAGATACTGAAAGAAGCAATTTTGTTTTGTTGTTGGTATGCAGCAGTTTTGCATGCTTATTATTTATTTAGGAATCGCAATAAATATTTTTTTGTATTCACCTGCACAGTGTTGCGTTATAGCGCATAATGACAATACCATATTATTTTTACATACTTAAGTGTTTTGGTTTGCACTTTTAGAAACAGGATAACAGACTGGATGGGGGACACTGTTTGGATCTGATTTGCTGTAGTTGCTAAATTAAGACATAAGACAATGTAAAAAGTTTCCTGAAATGTAATCAATAGCTTCTTAAGTATAATTAATAACTTATTAAATAGAATGAATATCTGAAATATAATGAAAGCTTTCTGAATATATTGTACATGCATTCTGAAGTTACAGACTTCAGTGGTCTGTGTTCTATGTGGCCATTTGTATTCACATTTTAGAAGTTTTCCAGCAGAACCTATTAAGTAGTCAACCTTTTCCAACCAGATCCTTCTTGACATACTTTATCCTTGGAGGAAACTGTGTTAAGATTGTCTTCTATTTCTTTTGAAATCAAACCTGAGGATGAGGCCCTTCCGACCTTATTAAAATGTCCTTATTGAAATGCATGCTTAAGCATAACAATCACAAATGGCTTTATGCTACTACAACAGGATCAGCAAGAGTCTATAATGCAGAAACAAAAAAGTGCATTGCAAAGCTAGAAGGGCATGGAGGTGAAATTTCAAAGGTAAGTTGTTTGCGGTTTGCACCTTTTCTTATTTGATTACGTGTGACATCCAATCCACCAGTTATTCCATGACACAGGAATACTGTTAAAGAATGTGGTGGTAAAATTATTAATATTTAAGATTGAGAGGTCTGGCTAAGAAGTTATCTTTACTAAAAGAACATTCCTTTCAAGTAAAAGCTATCAGTCAGTGATTGTTTCCAACTCCCCACTTCTGAGCTAAGATAATAGTGGGTGTGCCACTCCTGTAAGCTCTAGCAAGAGCCATCTCTCCATACTGTCATGTTATTTACTACTTGATTCCTTAGAATTGTGGCAGTTAGCAAGCTGCTTAAGAAATCCATCCCTCCCAGGGATGGTACCTGGCTTAGTTAACATTGAAATGATTGTTTTTCCTTACCTTTTTCCTTTTTCTGAAACAGTATATAGGTTGGGTCTCCGCAATTACTTGGCAGAGGGGAGCAGAGAAGGAGAAGCTGTCCAAATGTTCTCTCACTATGATCATAGCTAATAGAGCTTCTGTCTGACCTGTCCTAAATTGTACTTGTGTTATTATGCCCTTGGAGTCCCCAGATCCTCTGACAATAAGCACAATTTTTTAGTCTCTTGATGACATCTTAAGGCTATTGTCTCTGAGGCTTTTACCATCACCCTTATTCCTTACTTCTAGCAGATCTGCTCCTCTTTACTCTTTTTCATTTCTCTGCACACCCGATTTATGGAATGGAACAGAAAAAACATTTCTGTGGCAAAAATACATGGAGAGTCTTATTTTCAAAAGTGCATAAGGGACTTGGAAGTACAAAGCTTGTTTCAAAAATCACTTGGTCATGAGGAGTGTGCTCATGTACTTTGCTGGAAGTCTTGTCTGGCTCAATTTTTAATGCCAAAGTTCAGTTCCAAATACATTTAGTTACTTCCAAAATTGTACGTGTTTTTCAAACTTTGTTATTTAATGCTTGCAACTTTTCATTATTCTTTCAGGTAGTTTTCACTAGCTTCCAGGCTAGCAGGCTAAGTCTGTGCTACTTTTGTTTGATGTATTTTGTAAATGAAATATTAATATTTTGAAACTAGGATGGTTCTCAGTGAACAAAACTCACATGCTTTCACTGTATAGATTTGGCTATTATCATCACTCCACTGGGAGAATATTAAGTTCAGAAGGGCTAGTCTTTCCTCACTTAATATACTCAGTGCAATATTTCACATTCAGTGTAGATGCACTGAGGAATGCAGTCTGAATACGTGCTGACATGTGGGTGGGTTAGGGACAGCTTCCATCAGGGTCCGTAGTGCTGGCATGATTTCTTTGCTGGAAGTGAGAATCTGCGCATCCGAGAGCATGTTGAAAAGTCAATCTACTTCTGCAGCTGCAAGATGTTCTGTGATCACTTGGGAAGTTTATTACTTGGAAATGTGATTTCTGGGGAATAGGCGTTTTGCCTTCAGTAATTAAGCAATTTTGCATTATATAATCAACCTGGTAGTGTCCAGTTAGTGCTGTAGAAATATATGAGATTATCTGGAAGTGCAAGCAATTTTGGCAATGAATGTTTAACAAGTGTGAAGACATACTGAAAAATGAGTTGCCCTCAGTGGAAGTTTTGATATTATAGAGACGTAAGTTATTTAATGTAGAACTCTATAAAATATGTATAAATTCTACATTGGAATGATGATAACATTTAAATAAAGTTGTTACAGTTGTAGAGCAATTGTGATTTGGGGGGATAATGTTCTGAAGTCTTGATCATATAGTAAGGTCATTGTTTATAGACCTTTGCACATACACAAAATTTTCAGCCACAGAAGTTTGCCAGGGTGACTCTAGTGGAATACTATCCTGAATTTTAGCTGAAAAACTGAATGCAAGACTTGCTGGTTTCTGTTTTCACTTTTTAATCACTAGATATGCTTCTTTTTCTGGGCATATTGACTTGCTAAGTAATATAACTCTTTTCTATATTTTTTTAAAGATATGTTTCAACCCTAAAGGCAATCGCATATTAACAGCCAGCTCTGATAAAACAGCTCGACTCTGGGATGCTGCTACTGGACACTGCCTTCAGATATTAGAGGGTCACACTGATGAGATATTTTCCTGCGCTTTCAATTACAAAGGCGATATAATAATTACAGGTAACAAATATATTCCAATTTTTTTTTCATTTTTTGAGAAACATTTTAAATCCTGTTATGGTAAAAAAAATTAGAGTCTGAAAAGTGTCCTGGAGCCATATCCCAAATGCAGGTACCAGCAGTGACTTAAAATGTAGTCAAAAAAACCTAGAAACTCACTTTGGAACTGAGGCTCACAAATTTGTATAAAGGCATGGGCATACCCCACCATCTGTCCTATGGGCCTATACTAGCCCCAGACCAGTGACTTAAGCCATTTTCTCGCAATGTATTGCAGTGAGGGAGGTCTGGATGAGCAAAACGCAAAGCTTTTTAGATGGGAGCACACCTTTTGTGTATTTGGCACTGCATTCTGTTCAGGTTTCATTCACTTCAGATGAAAAATCACGGGAGTGGGAAACATGAACAGAGTATTTGTGATCGCTTCGATCTTTTGAGTGAACTACCAAAATAGGGGATGCAGGATGATCTCAGCTAAAAATATTGCTGCAGGTCCTGCTGTCTCTTCCTAGTCATGGACAGAAAAATATTTCTCTGGTTCCTAGGCATTCCAGGTACATTGTTGATGTAGGCGTTAACAAAAATGGATAATTTGTGCAATACAGCTAAATGATTGCCTCACAATGTGTTTTTATTACTAGGGAGCAAGGATAACACCTGTAGAATATGGCACTGACTGACGACAAGGAAAGATCCAGTTTGGTATATGCCTACTTCATGAGTTTCGTAGTCAATAAACTCAATCTTTCAGATCTGTTTTCTTTTACCCTCTTTGTTCAGCTTTGCTGAAGTAGAGAAGTTACCTAGATTTTGATAGGTTTGACTTTGCTGATGTCTGGTAGATATGGAATCATAGAATCACAAAACAGTAGAAGTTGGAAGGAGCCCCTGGAGATCGTCTAGTACAACACCCCTGCTCAAAGCAGCGTCAACTAAGCAGGCTGCCCAGGACCACGTTCAGCTGGTTTTGAATTTTTCCAAGGACGGAGACTCCACAGTTTCTCTGGGCAACCTGCTCAGTGTTTGATCACTCTCACAGTAAAAAAAGTTTTGTTTTTTTTCTTCTTATTTTTAAATAGAATATTTTCTTGTATTTCAATTTGTGCACGTTGGCTCTTCACTGGATACTGCCGAGAAGAGTCTCGCTCTGTTACCTCAGTCACCTGAGAGAAATGATGATTAGTGTCAATGAGTCCAGTAGGATGGCCCCATTTCTTTGTGTGTTGTTTTTCCCTTGTAACCCTTTTAATAAAAAATAGCCTTATGATACTCTCAAGTATGAAAGCGGTGTTGTTATGCACTTGCCCTGAGTAGTTTTGTATTAATTTGTTTTTGTTGTGTAATAAAGTAGTGAGTTAAAATGCCAGTTTCACTACTTGTAATACAATGTCGCACTTGATATTTCTGGGGAAAATCAGCAACCATTTGTGAACTGTATTGCTATTAACTATTGCATGCATGCTGTAGTTAAACTCCCGCTCACCACCCTTTCATACCTGCTCACATCTTTCCATTCCTTTCTGCTCAGCCCTCATTCTTCTGCTTTCATCTGAGGTAAAAAAAATAATGTGGGTGGTGACTCCAACTCTGAATCCTGGCCCAAAGATTATGGCCAAGATGAAGAAACTCTACACACCAAAGATTTGGAGCCAAGGATCATGACATAAACTGAGAAGTGGACGAGAAACTCCTGCACGTTATTTACCACCATAGGATGAACTCTAACCCAGGTTTACCTCTTGCCAGCAATCACCAACAGGCTTCACCTGTTCAGGGCTCTCCCCACCTCCTAGCAGAGCACCTGGAAGTGCAGTTGCTCTTTGCAGGGAAGTGGTGAAGGAGCAGAGCTGACTGGTGTCTGCCAGCAGCCTTGGAAGAAAGATGAAGAGGCACAGAGGGCAGGATTGAACAAAGTATGTGTGGTGCCTGGGAGGCAAAAGGAAGAAAGGAAGCGTGCAGCAGAGAATGAACTGTAAGGTATTTTGTTTATATTGTATATCTCTGGTTGTGGACTTGACTTCTAAATGTTGTTAAATTTCATAGGAAGTTACTAATGCTGATGTGTTCTGATTATCTCTGAGTGCTTGCCAGCATCCTTGTGTGTAAATGAAGAAACAAAAGTGCCCGTCATCACTTGGCAAGTATCCTGGTTGTTTCAAGTAGTGTCATGTTGTGGGAGAACTAAGCAGTGTGCTGCAGATCATTTAAAATTAAGCCTTTACCAGTAGGCAAAGTGGCTGATGTTAATGTTACAGTAATGCTTGGGGTGTTCCCTGTTGTCTTGTGCAAAGACTTATGATACCAAGAGAGTACCTTGGCAATCCAGAATTGAAAGGGGCAGGAAGGGCAATGCAGTTCTGTGTTATTTTAGAATTGCCCTGTGTCCCTAGGTCAGTTTGCACCTGTGCTTACAGATGTGACATGGGGGATTTCCAGCTGACAAAAATGGAGGAAAGTTAGGGTAGGGAAATGTTTACAAATACTGCTATGCAGTTAAAAACTGGAATTTGACTTGCTGTGTAACCATCACAAAGTAAAAAAAATTCTTTGGACTGCCATTTGGGAGTTGGTTTTTTTTTTTTTTTTTTGCTTAATTTTTCAGGTTGGATTATTTTCTGTTGCCTTTTCCGTTACGATTTTTCTCTTATACTATGCTAGTGATTCAGCAAATCAAACATCTGTAGTAGCTCTTGGCTTCGAGCTCTTGTCCTATTTTTATGTGAAATTGTGAGTGAGCTGAGGTTTCATAGACCAGGCGTTGGACTGGGAGGCCATCCGGGCTCTATTTCTGACTCTGCCGAGACTCACTGGGTGAGTGGCGTGGCTTTTCAGGTGAAGTTATCCAGGTTTCCTGCTCACATGTGAAATACTTTCACATCTGGTGTGATTCACAGCACTGCTGAAAAGTGTGCTGCCCTGGTGCCTCATAAGAACGTCAGTAGCACCCTAGGTACTATTAGGTGTGGAGCATAGGAGTGCTTTTATGTTAGGCTCTCTGCACCTTGGTTTACCCATGTGTAGATTTAATAAATTATAGAGATATATGTTAGGAGTGCATTGTATAGATGTATCATCCTGAAATCGTTCTGTGCCTCTGTTAGCAGCTTGATCCCCTTCTCTAATTCCACTTCAGTCCCTGTAACCAAAATAGCAACTGTGCGTGCTCTAACTCTATTGTCTGGTGCCTCTTAAATCTTGTAAAAACATTTGGCTTCTACATACCTTACACTCTCCAAGCTGCCACTGTAATCACGGGGTGGTTGGCGTGGGATGTGGCTTTCAAGCTTATCCTGAAATGCTGGCAAACTCGATTCACTGTGACCTTATCGAAAATGATTACCTCAGGAGACTCCCGAAGCGTGCTTTAGTAAGGACTGCCACAGTGGAAATCAGATTTGCTATATTGTTTCTGTCCTTCTGTCCTTTAAACCTTGGAATCCTTCCAGTATGTGCCTCTGTGAATATACAAGTTTGTTTTTCTAGGGAAGAAGCCCTTAGCTTGTATCACGTAACTTCCCCAGGACTGAGCATACGTTTTACAAGACAAGGACGAGGATTTCCATGTAAGCATACGATGTGTACTTGGACTCTTGACGTATGCTTTTTCTATCTCTTGAGATTCAAATTCTTCTCTGAGTAGGTGAGGATAATAATACTCACACCCACTCGTGTTTTAAAAGTGGTATTTTCTGAGAATTTCTTTTTGGGCTCCTTCCGTGTGATCACTTGCATTTACTGGGTAGTTAGCGAAAGGATATGAAATATGTCCTTGGTGATATTTTCCAGTTTGCTGGACTTTACTGATTTTCAGCTGAAGCTGGGAGGAGGGCACAGTACCCATCAGCCAGACCTGTCTTCCCTGCAAATTGTTTTAATTAGTTTGATAGGCCAGCTGTCTAATTTAACTGTCTGTCCTGCTAAATCCTGCAAGTTGCTTTCTGAGGGCCTGTTCCTTGTGATGACCTGCTGTAGAGTGAGTTTGAAAAATTGTAGTGGTGTTATGAGTTTGCTCATACTTAGCAAAGGCTTAGGAATGGCTCTGGCTTGAATTAAAATTTTTAAATTGGCTACTATGGATGTGCTTTCTTCTCAGCTGGAATTTGTTTTATTTATTAAGTAGCTCCTGTGAGCTCTTTATTTCAATGGAGTGGTGGGTTTTTTTCCCTGACATTTTGAAAGTCAGAGTGCAGGACACATGGGGACATTCCTATGCTTGGCTGTCGTGCAGCTCTGCATGGAACTGGGCAGGAGAAACAGTAAAATCGGCCTCTCCAGAAAAGTTATCTGCTGAACTTAATAGGATAACTGTAGACAGGTGACCATTTTTATCATAGACCACAATAAAATGGTTAATTTACTTGAAGACACTATGAAAATCTTCAGTGTTATGACAAAATGGAGGAAGATTATAGTTTTTCAATTTCTAATGATCCCAATGTTAAAAGCACCCTCAACAAAACCAAACTAAAACTGAAGGTTTTAAGTACTTATTTTCAATAGGTAATTCTCTTGTGTCTGAGTTAATGTATCTACAGGCTAAACCCTGCTCTGCATTAGGTGGGTGGTGGAGTCAACACCAGGGTGGAAGGCAGCTTTCCCCGAAGCCTTCTGGCAGAGTACGGTGGTGAGTGGGGCAGCCCTGGCTGGGCCCAGCACCGCAGCAGCTGCTGCGGCAACTGGCTGCTGCTCCCATGGGTGGCCTCTGGTGGCCAGGGCACCTCCCCAGGCTCATAGGGTTTGTCTTATTTAGGAAGCTGTGGTGCAGCTCTTTCAAGTCCTTATCCAGCTCCCGCTTGAACCTGCGTACAAGTTTTGCATCCTCTCATTTGATAAAGCGTCACCTCTTTTTGTTTGCGTGGAATCTGGCTCATATGAGTTTCATTTGTTGGGTCCTACCCTCTCCACACCCTCATGATATTAACAACCTGCATCATGCTCATGTATACAGAAAGGCTGAACTGCAGATAATTTACTCTGAGATTTTTACCTAAAATTGTGTGTAGTATGAAGTTCTCATTTATGTGTAATTAAAGTTGACTTTAATTTTTTTCAGCCTTTTTTAATGGTGGACAAGTCCTGTTCTGATTCACTCAGCTAAGTGTCGGTTTCCTTTTCTGTTTGGCAGTAGAAATACCTTTACACCTAGGCAGTAGGGCAGTAAATATCTGTGCAAACTTATACAAGCAGAAGAAACTCCTGAAATTCTCTCTCCCCACCCCCCCGCCCACTTTTGCAGGTACTGCAAGCAGCTGGAGGGAGCCCTCATAGAGATTTGGCATGTTGGGAGTTGTTCTGGGGTTAATTCTCAGCAATGAACATGTAATTTCTCTTTATTTTACTGTGATACTAAGAATGTCATGATTAGCCTTGCATCGCTTGAATGAATTGTGGAACCTGAGTAAAGCCATAGCTTTGGCACTGAGGTAAGACCTGGAGCTTCCTCTGACTTGTTTTGGTTAGGGCCATGGGTCAGATCTTTCATTCAGAAGCAGAGCTTTGGGAAGCTACAGGGATGGCAGGCAAATATTGTTTAATAGGTCAAAAAAACCATAGCACATTCATGAACTTTTTAGGAAGGCAAAGAGGACGCACATTATAACACAAATTTATTTCTGAATAAATTGCAACATTAAGAACATTAAGAGAAACTGCATCACACTGTTACAACTCTGTCAT